GGCATTCCTGAAACTCATCGATATTATGCTCTTCCCTGGGTCAGGCACACCATGTAATCAAAATATTGACTACCTCCAATCCGACATTGAAGAATGACTAGTATTCCAAAGGACTGCTACTCATTCCAAGACCCTCATCCTCGTTCGTTGGGAAACAATAAGGCAACAATGCGGTAGTTTTCATGCATCTTTGCAGAAGAGCAGGGTGAAGTTGAGCAACCGCATCCATTCTCTCCATCTCCTGCCGTAATACGTTTAACCTGAAAAAAGTAATACTGCTCAATAGTCACTGACTCTAAGAATGTTTCAAGCAGTGCAAGGTGTAAGTGTCGAAGATACTAATCCCTACACCTGCGAATGGTTCCGTAAACGATTAAGCCACTGTTTTCCATACGTACTTGATCTAATTTGAATCCAGTAAACCCTGAGCTCGAGCATCGATTCAAGCTAGGCGACTTTCCCTGGTGTAACGATGACCGTACCCAACATACCGAGAGAAACCCTTCGCCTGACTTCCTAATTTCTTGATAAAGTTAAAGGCATCAAGCTCAAGAGAACGGTTTCCAGATGTATCTAAATAACAGAGGTGACTCGGCACCCAGCCACTTCTACAGTCTCACAACATGATAGGTTGCACCCTGCGAGACAGTTATGGTAAAATTCAAGGACTGAAACAGACAGCTATCAATCACCTTCCATTTTTGCGATCAGTTCTGAGAAATTGGTAAAGAAACGCTGATCAACGAAACTGTCGAATGCGAAAAATTGATCGCTCATAGCCACTGATACATATACTACTGCCTTTTCAAACCTATAAGTACTAAAGCATACCTTTCTAATTTAGAAACAACATCATGGTTGTTTATTTTCTCTGGAACGACCTCAAGCCGAACAACACCTTCACTTATAGAAACCTCAGCTAGCAATTTTCCACGCTTGAATAGTGTCTGAAATATATCACATAAAATAAGGTTCTACTGAGCATAAAATCTACCTATACTTACTTCCATTATTTCGACTGCCGCGTCCGTATCAAGATATGCTCGAGCAGCCAAATCAGCGAGTGGAATTGATGAAAATGACTGGAAACGGTAAAAATTGGTTATTCGCACACAGCATGCATGCAGGTAAGAATTACAACAAACCTTTGCAACAGAAAGAACTGCTTTCTCTCGAAGTTCCTTTATAATTCGTGTAATCAGCCCTACTGCGCCATCCTAAGTGGAGCATCCATAATAACGTTAATGAAAATCAAGCTCTTCTCGCCACGCACCTCAGTGAACACCTTCCTGTTGTCATTGAGCACTTTCTCTACAGCACTTGCTCGATCTCCGGCTGACTGAACAGCCGTCGCAAGGGCGGCATATGGTTCTCCTACCAGTTTCCAAGCGCCAGTCAACGCTGATGAGCGACCAGCTGCATGATAATTTTACCAGAATACAACAAGCTCGCGAGATAGAACCTAAATATAATTCTCATGAATAGAATAGATTCAGAGGAAGGATTTTTGGATAACAAACTATTCCGAAATAAGAAGGGAGAATCGCCATTGCCAGTAGAAAATGGAACTCAAACAACTAAAATGGGACACCAAAAATATAATCTCTGGAGAAGGTACTTAACCCACTTTTTTAGTGCATCCAGCTGTGCGACACTTGTAGCAGAACCAGGTATCAATATAGCACTTTCCAATAGAGAAATAGCACGGCGTAGTTCATTCTTAATTACCACGATTTCAAAGCCCGACCTCAGATATAATACAAAACTCAATAACAAATGTAGAACTCACCCTTCTCATTAGAAGAATAGCTCCATAGTAGAGATACAAAAGCATATACTTTGACTCAAAGTAGACCGGCACTGGTGCAGTAATCGCTCGCTGTTTACGAACATGTTGCACATTTTCCGTAGTTGAGTCAGATGTGCTGACAGGACTCTGTTAACAATTAACAAGTGGTTGCAAAAAAAAGCGCGGAAAATAGGAGTAATCCTTAGTTGATGAAGAATCGTAAAGATGACAATGCAAACAGTTAAATTTCATTACATTTCTTGAAGCAAAGGAAAAGCAGAGGAAGGTAGAAACTGAACAGTAAA